AAAACGACAAATTCTTTTTTTTTTTTTTGAATACGAAACAGAAAAAAAAAAGGGGCCGACACGGAATGCTATCGACGGCGGGTGCGTCGAAATATTCATCCGCATCGACGCCCGCCGTGTACCCGGCCCCGTGGGCGCGCTGTGAACAATTCGGTACGCGCACCAATCTGCACGCCCACCCGCCCTCGATCGCCTTCATCCGCCAGCCCGCACCGAAACTTCCACCCTATTCCGGCGCGCAGCGGACCATCTACCTCCCCCCTGCGGCCAATGCTGCTCAAGGGGTAGGATATATATATACATATTTTTATAGAGCGAAATCATTCGACTAACCAGCCCAGGTAGTGGCCCCAGCTCAGTTGGGAAGGCAGGTAAGTGGCATTCAGGAGGTCTTGGGTTCAATCCCCATTGGCCTCAAGTACCTTTCTGGGCATGCTTGGCGCCCGCCACCTAGAGATAGGCCGTCAGTCCCCCGATTGGGCGCTGATGTTCATAGGGGAGGGGTAATCGGACAGGCACAAGCACTAGCCACTGAGATGATGGTAGGCCCCTCTGCTACCGGCTGTCCCCTTGCCCGTGTCCCCGATTGGGTGAGCCCTATGGGTCTCTTTTTTTGTACAGAAAAATAAAATAAAACGAAAAATTCGAAAAAACAAATAAAATCATACATGCCACTAACGCGTAGTCTCGACGTACACAAAAGACAAAAAAATGCGAATCTTTCCATGTTCAAGTGCAGGATTCAGTCTCAGTTTCCCCACTCGGAGAGTAGTGGAGCGAGTTTCTGGTCACGCGGCTAAGCTCGCGATATATGTTACTTCTTTTCTTTTTCCGTCACGAATTTTCTTTTTTCTTCACGATCCTGATAACTGCACTCGACGATGAGTTTTTTTTTTTTTTTTTTTTTTTTTTAAATAACGATCAGATCCTTTTTTTTTTTTTTTTTTTTTTTTTCAATTTCATTTTACGATCAGCTCTTCAGAGTCAGTCTTTCTGAACTGTTTTGTGATAAAAAAGTAAGTTAAAATATCACATAATATCAGCCCAGGCCTCCTTTCTGCAAAAAACTCGTCGATTGTAACGGGTAACTTCACCCTTCACTAGTTACTTGAAACACTCGATGAGCAGCGCTTCTGTCTTGTCGAACTGCTTTACTACGGGTTCAGAAGGGAAAAAAAAAAAAAAAAAAAAAAAAGCGGTGCTCCTTTCTTGAAAACTATAATTAAGATGGGCAATTTCACGAGTTAGAAAATTGAACATAATTTCATTCGTGGCCAGATGTAATTATCCATTTTCTCCAGTGCTCCCTGCTCCCCCTCCTCCCCCTCCCCCTCCTCCTCCTCCTCCTCCTCCTCCTGCTGCTGCTGGCTACTTTGAATCTTTATAATGATCCCGACCAGGAGCTTCGATCTACAACAAGATCATAATGAGCGCGACAGTGATCAGTCCCACAACTACTGTACTGTGGCACTAATTGAAATCCGACCGACGGTCCCACTCGAAGTAGAACGCGAGGTTGTTTTTCATATCTTAATGAGTCAATCAATGAAGCTCCCATGAAACAGTCAGCATTAATGGAAATGTGGTTTTAGTTACTGAAAGAAAGAAACTTCAAAAATGAAAGGAAGAAACTGTCAGTCACAGCCCCCTTCTCTTGTTTTTCCTCCCTCTCTGCCTACAGTTCGCCTATCGTTACATACATTAGAAAAACCAAGTAAGACTGATATATGGAAATCCCGCGTTCTCTTCCAGGGTGAGAAGTAGCAGAACACTCCGCTCGCCACGGTAGTCGAGACCGGAAGGTCATCATCATAGCTCCACCAATAGTACTTGCAACTAAGTATGCTATGGGCACACAAGCACTCACACACACACACACACACACACACACACACACAC